TGTAAGAAATTAAACGTAAAATACTCTCTATAAAAATCATTATTGCTTAAACAGACCATAATTTTTATAGCCTTCAATTCTGTTTGGTTACAGAGCTATCAGACCTCTCCTGGCACACCCACTTGTCACATCCTCTCTTTCACAATTGGTTGATAGTTCTCTCTTATGTATCATTATATATTATTTATAACCAATAGAAAGTCAAGGTTTTCATCTATCAATGGCGTATTGTATAACGTTGTGTTCTGAACAGATAACTGTCAATTTCACTCGGAGTAGCAACATCGTTCCCATGGGAAAGTTAACGACTAGCTTGGATGAATTTGTAATGGCTCTTGTCTCATAGTTAGAAAGCCAGGAAAATTTTAGAAGTAGGTGAATTTGTCTACTTTTTGCATGTTATTAGTCTATATTCTTTGGTGCAATATATAATTAAATAAAAATTATGAAGTGTATTACTATCTATAGTATAAAAAATTAGGGTTAACTTTCTTCAAAACCTGACTGCAAGAAAAAAGAAGATTGGTTAAGTATTAAATTTCTTGACTTTCATGTTTATTCTTTATGTATAATTACAAAACTGACTAAAAGTTATTTAAGACTAGACTACGTAAAATAAGTAAAAAGTAATAATATAATTACAATGGTTCACTAGGCACGCATGGGAGCAGCTCATGGGTAATATAATTCAATAGCGTAACGAGAGCTGCACATTCTCCGAGTGAGTCACAACTTATAATGGTGCAGACGGTAGTTAGACACAGTTCAAAGGGTAATAAAACAATAAAATTTAATTATATATAAATGCATACTGTTACGAACTTAGAGTTACTTCGATAAACGAATGTAGTTTCCTGTTATAATTTGAAGTTATTCTAGAAAGAAAAAGAGTAATTTAGGTATATTTTTCGCTTATTTTTTGGTGGTTACGGGGTCAGGCAAACTTACCAATCCCATTTTGAGACAGGGTAGAGAAAATGACAGATAAACTATAAAGTTTTACATAAGAACAACGTTTGAAGTGCATCTAGGAGGCTTTAGGGATTATACAAAGGAAATTTGAGATTTTTGAGATGAGGAAAAGTATTTTTAATTTTAACATGAAAATTACTTTGTACACGGACTATTCAAAACAAATACTCAATATATTCATGGACAAATCTTTATTTTATTTTATTAAAAATACTTAAAAAAACTTATAATAAGAACTGAAAGACTGCTGAATTTTGTGAAAATCTATACACTATATTGAAAGTTAGAAGTATTAAATCTATAAAGACTTTAATCAAGTACAAAGTGGTCACGTGGTCGGTTAAGTTCACCAAGCACTTGTTGAGAGAGTTAAGACACCACTGACAATAAATATTCCATTTTCATTGATAAACGATTGTGGTTGACCTAACAGATAAATCATAAATGTTAAACCCTGATGTTGGGCAAAGGACCTCATAACTTCCCAGCA